ATAAAGTCAGAAATAAATTTCTATTTTCACGATTACGAAAATATTCCGGATAATGCAATTGCACGCGTGTATGTGTGTGTGAGATGCAGATAAAGCGCAAAATCGGTAAAAAATTTTATTTTTATAAGCACGAAATTCTCACTCCTCGTTTATATCCAACGTAATATCGTACGCTACGTAATACGGCCATTGAAATCAAGTTCAGTGGAAAAGAAAAACACGATTCACTTGTGTGAAAATCTTCCTAGCTTCCATATCGTCTCGCAAAATTGAATACGACATAAATATCAAATCATCACACGAGCTCAATCGGAGTAATTAGACTTACCAGTCCGTTGTACCACATCCGAATGTGCTCGCTTAAATCCGATTTTCATACTCCTGCGGCTCTCCATCAACAAAGACACATTTAATAACGCTCGCTTAGCAATCACGAGAGGAGAAGAATCTGCGAGAAAAAAATGCGCGGATTAATGTCGGCGAAATGCGCATTAAATGCTGCCGGTGCGCGAGCCATCTTTACGAACTGAAATCCGCGGCAATTTCGCGACGATGTTCATGATGGTGTTCATACTAGGTCGGAAAACCATCATAGTTTATATGTATATCGGCCACAATGTGCGATATATTACTTGTTTCAAATTGTCCATTATCATTGATTAAGCAAAATATACATTATATGTAACGTCAACGTCACAGCGACATAACGTTAAATATTCTTCTCGGATAAAGCAATACATAGACCGTGACAGAAACGGACCGTCGTCGACATCAAAAACCGATATTTGACGTTTCGTTGACGTTACGTGTAGTTACGCATCATACATGCATTACGTTTTACTACGCGAGCTTCATACGTACATTTACGCAGCGAAAAGATTTATCCTCGATTATCCGATTCCTGCGAAGATCTCGACGATGTTAGCTTCAAATCACGGATCTCGATGTGTGTTAAATATAGTTACGAATTTCATCGATCGATCGTTTCGATCAGAGAGTACTTTTCTAGTGGATTTTTATCCCTACATGAACATGATTGCCAACTGATTTTGTAAATTTATCTCAAGCCTGGTTAAAGCGCGCGATTCGATTTTTTTATTAGATACTCGAAATAATAAAAATCTAAAAAATTCACCAATATACAATATTATTTTTAAAAATCTAAGAAATTCACCAATATACAATATTATTTAATAACTTACTAGTTTGCATATGATTAAAAAAAATGTATATTGATCTTATATATTGCAATCAATAGTTCTCTGTAATCTTCGTAATAAGTGAAATAAAAATTTGAAATAACAAGAAAAAAAAGCGAATCGCACGTATTAAAATGCAAGAGTTTTATAATATTTGAATATGAATATTTGACCATGTCGGAATCATAAGATAGCGTGTAAAATCATTCTACATTATATGTTTACACAATTATAAAATTATAAAAAAGGGTAAACATCTATATCTATACACACACACACATACAATCCTCAGATCATTTTTTTATTAAAATCTTTTATTTTCTGTATTTTTCGTAGCGTTTTCCTAAACAATAATTAACGTAACTTAACGTGAAATTGTGGTGTGTGAAATAGAAAGAAAATGTAGAAAGAGATAGAAATAGAGATAGAGAGACAGAGAAGAGAAAGAGAGAAAGAGAGAAAGTATAATGCTCGATTATTAGAATCATGGAAACTTTCACTCAAATCAATAATGGTACGATATACAAGTGGAGCAGATTTAAGATACGTAGAGTAATCTTAAGATTATAGAGATATTGACAATGAGACGACCTGACCGATTAACAAAAATTAATCGATCTTTCTCGATTGACCGATGAATTAATTACGCAAGTAGGTACGCGGACAGAGTAGACATAAGTTAACTTATGGGCTTAGACTCGACGAACATCGTCCACGTCGAGAAGGTAACGACATACGAGAGAATATTTCGCAGAAAAAGAGAGAAGAGCGGGTGTGCAATGCGAAAAAGTTGGTAAAAACTAAAAAATGAGAGGAATTTCAACCGCAGTTTCTCTCGACGTGCACGACACACGCTGCTTCGATCCGAAAGTCTATACCCTCGTCAGAAAATGTTACAATATGAGAGTTAAGTTATACCACATACTTAACATGATACACAAAGTCGTTATATCCAGAGTATCAAATGGATACGATCAAATACCACGGTTCAGGCGAAACGGAGATTATTACTTCTCGTGCTATCTTGATTAGAATGCGGAACCAGGTACATGTGGATGTAATGATTTCCATATCATGCTTGTATCATACTTTATATATCAGGCTTCGGTCACTTATTTATGTTCCGCGTGAACCGGGTGCTCTCCCTTTAAACAAAAAGAAACAATTCGTCATTACATCAATCGATTATTTACTTAATGCATAATAAACAAATATCCACATAATAACAAAATGTGGAAAGTAAACAAAAATTGGAAGAGACTTTAGAGACGATTATTTTTGCCACAAATACATTTTCAAAAATCAGATATATATATACATGTAATCAATCCATGTCTTTTCAACAGGCACTAGTGCCTTCATACGAAAATCTTAAGAGAATCAATTTCATATATAATGTTCCACATTCAATGTATATAGAAAGTTTCATTCAATCCACATCCCACACAATGCGGGTGAATTGCTCGAATACTTTTTACTCTTATGCTCACGAATCGAAGTCTCGCGTGAAAGACACATTTTATAAATATAATGTGGAAGAAAAAGAACATCAAGTTCTATTTTTATCAGTCTTTAAATAGAAACATCACTTCAAATATAACGAAAATTTATATTAACTATATATATATATATCACTGCGCATAATCTAAAAATTTGAGAAATGCATTTCACAGTTATATAATTCAAACTTCCACTTGTGTTTTTTTTTCTTTTGTTAGGCGCATACTTTTCATCAAAATATTCAGTCTGGAAACGAATCCTCGATACACTGCGCGGAATTATCTTTATCTTCTTATCTTATTACACACCTCTCGCACGTTAACCATATAGTATCTCGTTTATTGTAAATATAATTAATTTAAACTAATCGCATATGACGTTTATCTTATATCGAGGCTCTGAAATTTCTGAAGCCGTTATGAATGTTAGCAAGAGTCGAATGTTGCAAGAAAACAAAGAGTCTTAACGATATTTGTAGCAAAAATATACATGTCACATTGCTCCTCGCGATTATACACGTTTACATTACAAGAAAAAAGAAAAGGAAAGAAACTTAACAGACGACACGAAGAAAGTTTTGGCAAAGAAACGTAACGTTTAACGACGTTAAACAACCAGTACTCGGCATGTCAAAACGGGCGTGGCTGTACAAATAATAGTACCCATTGACAACGAGTTCGATGATCGCACACCTATACTTAAGAATCTATTATTTATATGACGATACTGTGCGCGCGCTCTCATATGATCTGCTCACAAATGAATTTAACTATACCGCGAACAGAAACTAGTGACCTCCACGCTACCACGATTCTGTTATACCAATAATCATGTGTACTGATACATTGTACATGCGTTATTGCCAATAACATATGTACTGCTCCATCTCCATACGAGTAATAGGCGTTCAGGTATATTCATTCATCCTAACAAAACTAAACGCGATAATTATTAAAGACATGTACTCTAACAAAGTTATTATCAAAGTAATGATATATGAAATAAAAATCCCTGAAATATAATAGTTTAATCAGCCATTACTTGTCGATTTATGATATTTACAACAGAAGTTATAGATTTTTTATTCTTACTGGAAATATAGCATAATTGCTCATAATTATGAATATGATGGTTGTGCAGAGAGATTACGTATTTGAAATTACGTAGGAAGATGAAGCATGAGAAGGAACAGAATGTATGTGTATGTACATATGTATGCAGATATACGTGTGTATATGCGTGTATACGAATCAGGACGTGTGTATTTATTTATGTATGTATGTACGAAACAAATTGTATAGATGTTTAGAAGTGCAATACAAATCTAAAGAATATTAGAAGGCAATTATCAATTAATAATTGTAATTTTCACAATTTCAGCGGCATTATTTCAAAGCCATAATGTAAAAATGCATTTAACAATAACAAATATAATACGACTTTTATGAAAACGGACATTCGGTCATTTTTCATGTAATAATTGATGGTGAAAATTAAATTTGCTAAAATTATAAATATTATAATATCTCTATTAATTCTAATAGACAAATTTGTTTTTAAAATGCATACGTAACAACATTGGTCACTTACTGCATTATGCAAAATTGATTATTATCATAATGCATAAAATTGTCCAAGGACATTTTTTATTATGACTGTTACTAGATTCTAACATTTGTACAAAACTGACAAATTTTCAAAAACAAATTTGTACATAAGAATTAATTCTGTCACAAATAATATGTAGTTTATGCATCTCTTATTTAAATAATTTTAATTTCAATATATATATATTATTTTATATTCACGCGGATATGTCGCACACAGAGAAAATAAGGATAATAAAGATTTTAAACGAATTTAGATGAAACACACAACCAAAACTTTTAAGCTTCTATTGCATTTGTGTCTTCTGATAAAAAGACCCTAAAGAGTACTTGCAATATATACATCTATACAACTTTTAAATTCTTATATTCGAATATTGAATAAAGGGATATATTATATAATATAATTCTATAATATATATAAATATAAATATACATAGATATAATATATATATATATATATATATATATATTTATAATTTATATTTATATATATTATAGAAAGTTGTAAGCCACATTTCACGATAATATTGCAAAGAAAAGACTAACGCAAACTTTTGCAATATTTACTATTTTAAAAAAGAAAATTTGTGTTTTTTCTATTAGCATCTATATATTAAGTATCTTACTTTCTATGCAAAAGATAAATATTTATATTAATTATACTGTGTTGTATACAATATACAAGCAGTATATAATATATAAGATTCTACATTTTACCTAATCTATTAATACTACAAAATATGCTATATTTGCCGAATGTAAAAAAATATCGCTTCTCGTGTCAAAAATCTGACTTGATTAATGTAGATAAAATTAGTTGTACGAAACATTTAATTGCAAGTTTAAAAAGTTTGCAGAAACTTTTGTCATTTCTATGATTGTACTCTCTAGAGCCTCCTAATGAAAAGCTATACTTATATGCTACACATTTAGTCACTTTATCTCCAAATAATTTACAGAGAAATGCTTTGGTTGTGCGTTTGCATAATTTGAATATCGCTTGTAAGATATCTGACAAAAATTTTCAAGAATGAGAAAAAAAATGGTATCCATGTTCCTTGGAGATGCATTTTCACTACCATATTTTTACTTGCTTATATATAAATATATCAATCAAATTGCACAGAGGATAACCTTCACAGAGAATAACTTCTTTTATAAGAGATAAAAAAAATGATACTTACAAAATGATAAAACAATAAAAGAGACACTTAAAAATCTCTTCAGTATTATATTAATCTAAAATGCTAACCACACATAATCTCCTCCCGTTAAAAAGACAGGAAGCACGATTGCGCAAACGCATTTTTCAGAATATTTATACTGTTTCGCACGTACAACATATGTATCTTCAAGGGTACTAAAATTACTATATATAATAATAATTACTACATATAGCAATAATTACTATATAGTAATAATTATTACATAGTATAATAATAATTGGGATTTTCTCGAAACATAAGAATCAATTTCGAATGAAATGATACCTTACATTTACTGATACAACTCGCGACCTACAGCTAGTGACCGAAAATATATGGATACAACCAAAGTACGGCAGCTTTTTAGCCATGAAAGGAATTATACAATAGATTAATTTAGTATCTTAAGTTACCTAGTTACTGTTGTGTTTGTGTATCAAATCATTATCATAACAATTACTTGTTGGGCACACACCGAATTAAAGTCTCAGTTGTAAGCATGTGTCATATTTTCGGTACTTTGTAATCGCTGTTCATTAGCCATCCTCTTTCGGGGGTGTAAACCAACCTGCCAGAGCACAAAATAATAATTACTCTGTATACAATGTGCAAATAAAATATAGCATAAGAAAATAAGTAAATATTTACCATTTTTTTCATGTATTTGTACAAGAGACTTGAATGACTGTTGGGCACGCGCCAAACTATATTGGCCTTGTCCACCACACACTTTTCCAGCACCACCTGATCCTTGGAACTGTATACGTGCTTTTCCTTTCACTAACGTTGCTGAAATTTGCATTATAACAGCTTCTACTGTGTATGCCGAACTCCACCCTTGTTTTGTAAGAAGTTCCATACAAATAGCACCTCCCACAAGAACATAACCACCAGAAATGATGGGATGTACAACTCTTACAAATGGAGGTTCAAATGGATAGGTTTCCTGTGATAGAAAATTACAATATCTAACATAGTTAAAAATTTTACAAAATTGCTTAAATCTACAAGCTAATATGTATAAATTTAAACTTATAAACTTATAAATATTATATATACAACAAAATACCTTGAAAAGCATGTTGAGAAGAATACTGTCTTTGCCCTCTTTCTCTTTCAAAAGAATGAGATCGCTGTGAAGTGGTGAATCAGGATCTACACACATCAACCTGATATTCCATTCATACAAACTGTCATTTACTAGTTCTATGCTATACATGCCTGGAAAGAAAAACATTTATATACATATAATAAGTCTATTTATTACAACTTCTTAATTATGTATGTATGTGTATAAATATATGAAATTCCTCTTCCGAAATTTTAAAAAATTAATAGTTTTAAAATTAATAGTTAAGAATTTGGCTCGAATAAATAAATAAAAATTAAATCAAAATTGTTGTTTAGCAAAGTTGCTTATTAATTGCTGTTATAACTAACTAACTACTGTTGTAACTAAAAAAACTACAAAATAACAATTCGTTATTTTTCTAGTTTTTTAGTTTGAAATAAACAGCAATTAATAAGAAGGAAGTGTAGTTTCTTCCCTGCGCCCCAACTATCGCGCTATGTCAATTTTGATTTAATTTTTACCTTTTTTAAAGCTGTCACTTCGATATATATCACGTAGTTCTTTCATGAGTCTATCAGTAGCTTGCACACTTCCACAAACAGATCCTTTCAAATAATCTTGTCTCTGATTCTGTCTCAACCTTTCCAATGTTGCAAGATGTTCCAAATCCATTTCTTCACTCTATATCATTAAACATTAAGATCATAACAACAGTAGCGGTTGTGCATTAGATCAGTATCATAAGTTTATCTTCTTTACCTTACTCTTAGCATTAGCGTCTCCTTCATCCATATCCAAGTGTAAGTCTTCTTCAGTCTCGCTCTCTTCGTCCTCGTCAATATCATCTATATCTTCGGCGTCCATCCTTTGCGCCACTGCTTCGTTTGGTCCTCCTAAACGTAAGGGATCCAAAGCAGTTCTGAGTCTTTCGACATCTGGTGGTTCTGGTAACGAATGTAATCTGCATAATTCTTTCAAAAGAATTCCAACTTGGTTGATTACGTGGTTGTCGCGTCCCGTCGTGTTACTTAAAATTTGTACAGCATTTGTAACACTAGTTTCTTCGGATTCGGCAAACCAAACTGGTGGTGTTGAAGGGTAAGTTTCCTACATAAACATCGTTAATATTAATACAATTCTAATATAATAATAGGAATATATTGGTATATGTAATAGGAATTACATTGAAATATAAAAACGGAAAAAATAAAAATCTCAACACAGACTGGTCTCTCACGAATACACGCAAGCGCGTCATACATTTAATGCACGCACACAAAGAAATATGCACACACTGACATCTGTCGTATAATCAGTAAATGATGCACGAAAGATGCTAAAATACCTACGCGAATATAACCACGAAGGACGATATGCATTACAAAAAAGGATTACGCTTAATTGCAATATTCTTCGTGCACACACACACACGTCACCATCGTTGCGCCTTTTGTATCGTGAAAAAAAAAATCAAACTCGTTGCTACTCTACTTTGCGATTAAATTGCATTCGATGTGCGGGATCGATGAAATGCGAAACATCGTACGATGCGAGATTTGAAAACGAATCTTCTTTGTCTGTCTGTCCGTCTATCTCTCTCCGTCTGTCTCTGTCCATGTCCATCTATCTCTATCTCTATCTCTCTCTCTCTCTCTCTCTCTCTCGCGCGCGCGCGCGCTCGCTCGCTCTTTCTCTCTCCTACATTCATCTGACATTGTGTCAAAACAATTTTGATAAGCCTGTAAAAAAATGGCAATTATCCTCCGCAAAAGGACCGTGCTATCTCCCCGGCATCAACCTTTATCACGCTATTAATCCGCTAATGGGGATTCTCACCCTACGAAAGAAATACGATGTTAGAAAAAAGAAAATCGATCGCACCAGCGTCGAAATGATCGAGCTATCGCGTGAAAGGGAAACAATAAAATGATATCGTCTCGTCCAGCACCAGGAATAATAATCGCGAGTGTTGCCTCTTTGTCCACGTACGTCCGGAGGAGACGGACACCAGGCGAGTGTCCGTCCCGTGCGAGATGAACGAAGCAACGAAACAACGAACGAACGCACGTACGTACGGACGTACGTCGTACGCACGCATGCACGCACGTACGCAGGCACGCACGCACGCACACAACGAGCCGACGAACGTCGAAAGCACACTCGCGTATTTTTCCTCGTAGATCCCCGCGCGCGGGTTAACACTTACTGTAATATTGGCGTGTATTTCGTACTTCTTCCCATTTTTACCGACGAATCTGCAGCTGAGCTCGTCCACGCTCGCAGACATTATCTGAAACCTCTCATGGCTCTTGGGGAAGACGGATTCGAGCGTTTTGATTTCCTGCTTGAGAGTGTTCAGACAAGCCATTTGCGGGGTGACGTTACGCGTGGGGCTATCGGGTATCCAAATTCGGCGGCGCGTTTCACTTCGCCCGAACGAAATACGGACGAAATCCCCGACGACTGAGAGAGACACGACGATCCCGACGACTACCCGACAAAATGGCGACTGCGACTAAGCACCTCGGCCAGTCTCGTGCGAGCTCGTTATACTTCGTCGGCGATGGCGCCATCGCGTTGCCGTCTGTCAAAGCCGAGCGCGTGACGTATTTCCGGCGCGAATGCGGCAGAAGTTGGAAGTAGACGAACGCGTGTAACGAATTCGAACGACGAGGCTTGCGTTCTTTTCTCGCGGCTGAATTTGCCCCCCCGATTCTTATCAACGGCAGTCTAGGTACGTATAATTAAATAATTGCGTATTAAATAATTGGATATTATATTAATTTCTTTCCAGGAGTCGAAATGGCAGGAGAGAAAGATCTCTCGAATGAATTTTCGAAAATACAGAAAGCAAAAGGTAAACGCGTTCGCGCGCTTTAAATATGTATGCGTCTGATGAATGCAGGTCTGATGCCAAGAAAATTCGTTTCCATTGATTGTATCATGAATTTATTTGAAATATCTAGTATAGATCTATTTCTCTTATATTCTATATGTACAAACGATAGCGTAATAAAGTATAATACACATTTTATTTTAACAGACGTTAACAAAGAGATGCTAATCTAATATATTAAAAATAATTATATTCTAAACGCGTTCGGGGACACGAATTCATCTCTTGCGTCTTTTTTTTCTTTTTTTCTAAAGAATACAACGCATACAACATAATTATGTGAAATAAAATAAAATTGGTATGTGTCTGCTTCTTTTAAAATAATTCAAGAAATTCTATAAACATTTCTTGCTGCAATAAAGAATCGTGTAAAATCAACGTATACTACTCTTTGCTACATATATACATGCAGTCCTATATCTCTTTCTGTAAAATATATCATTGTTTGATAATCGCATCAAACTTACTCATGTATGTAAAAATGAGGTAAAAGATGTAAAAATCCATACATGGTATTTTTAATAAATTTGTTGTACATATATAATATCGAATATCATAGAAATTAAATTAAATAAAAAATTATTTGTATCAAAATTAAATTAATAAAATATTTTATCGCTCAAACGTTTTTATTTAAATAATAACTAAATTGTGTTTGTCATCTTTGAATTTTTTTTCTACAATCTTTTGAATAGCTTACAACGGTAGATGATACTACAGAATCTCAATAGCAATAATAAGATATTTCAAAAGTTGTGATTCAACAAAATATTCATAAATGATGAAATATATTCATATTACGACAGGATATACGAATAATCTTTTCTGCTTTGTGTGGAAGATTCACGTTCGACGTGAATCAGTCGTTATAATTATCTCTTTATATACACTTGTATTTGCCATGTACATTTCTTTTAGAGCTTTCTTAATGCTAAAGTTAGTGAGTGACGAAAGTATATAGCCGGTCGATAATAACTATTTAAACCTCTGTCCCACATTGAGAAGAGATAAAATAGCATCTTATACACTGTCCCAACACGTAGGGCACTATTACGTCCTGCATTCTATTATTATAAATGAAATTAAATGACAATTATCGAAGACCCATTAATAATAATGTGTGCACTGATAATGTTCTAAAATAATTTAACTAAACAAAATTCGGTTCGTGACGTATTGTGGATCAAGATGGAAGACTATTTCAATGTATTTTTAATATTAAATAGATTCTTTCATCGCTCGAACGTCATTGCATTTTCTTTCACAGTTACGCTCTACATATGTTTTAATAATCTTTTATATATGTTGTAGAGTTTGAAATGCAAACATAAATTTAACATATATATGAAACGGGTTAAACGTGAAGCAATCACAACTGAATTTGATTTTGAACACAACTGCATTAGTCTTTACTCTACCACACATATTGTTTTTTTTCCTTTCTAAATCTTGATAAGATAAATTTACTGTTATCTTCTCAATATAACACATTTAACATAAATAAATATTGTTTTTTTATCCCATATAATTTTATATATATTTTTTATATTTCTAAATTTAATCACATGTGATGAATTTCACGTTAACCCCATTGTGAGATACTTATCCTCGACAAATACTGAATATAGGTATAAAAATGTAGGTGTAACTGTGTAACAAATTTCGCTAAATGTGAAAAAAACTTGCCATTTAAATTGTCTAGAAGCAAAAATTTACAATACGAATATCAGAAGAAAGATGCAGCAGCAATATTGAGAGAAATATTATTTGTAAATATAAATATTAAAATACAGAAACAAAGAAACGTCAATTTTGCTTTTTTTTTTTTAAGATTTTGTGAAAATGTCAATTTTTATATATTATTCATTCTTCATAAATGTAATTCCCAAAAAATATTGCTTACTGCAATCTTTTCACATTAAATAGGCATTTGTTTCACTTTATTCATTTCATACGTCTATCATTGCACTCTCTTGTATACAGTGTATTTGTTAAACAGATGAAACGAAAAAAATTGTTCAATATTATTAAACAAAATTTTATGAAAATGGTATAAAAACTCACAATGAATAAATGGATTAACATTTTTAAATTAGCTTGCAGCTAGTTATCAGAATACGTACTAGTAATAGCTAGGAACTTGGAGAAGCATTACTTCCATTTTTCGCTTTTTATTGATATACATTTAATATGCAAAATAGGTTATTCACTTTGAATAACTCCATAGCATTCACGTCATGTCCGTCTGTAAATTGGATAACAGCATTTTCTTTCTCCGGATTTCTTTTTAAAACAGAATTTTCATATAACAAACAAAATATTAATGTAACAAAAACACTATGAAAAATGGAGAGTCTAAAAGATTATTATTTTTTTTTGTGTTATAAAGAGGTAGAAATAAAATATATATATATATATATATATATATTACATATATATATATATTGCATGCGCACGTTTAAAAACAGGTGCATGTATATATATATATATATATATATATATATATATATATGTATATGTGTATTTATGTTATGTGTGTATACTGTGTGTATGTGTGTGTGTGGAATGATGAGATATATTCAATTTGAAAATAAGAATGTTCTCTTTCTCTTTTGTCTATTTTGTCCTGCAACAACTTTTCACACTGTAGCAGATTTTGAATAAAATAAAATAAACAAAAAGCAGATCTTAAGTGTCAACCATAATTTACATGTTTCGGTTTTATTTACATTCTTTTCAGTAAATACACTGGAGAAAGAAATAGCTCTCTGGTGTCACTGTACATAAACTTTAATCGTTCGGGTCGTATGTACTTTGTTAAGTATCACACACGAGATATAATTCTTTAGTTAAATATCTCGAGGGCGTCTCATAACAATGTTACGTACGTAATCAATATGTAAATCAATGTGTTATCGGCTTATTTAAAACGCCGAATGATAGTAATCGTAAGTAGGCCAGTAAGGCTGTAGCCAATCCTAGCTGGTACGTTGGCGCTTTTTGGCAGGGTGCTCTTCAGATGAATGAGCCGAGGAAGGCATGACCATATCTCCTCTATTAAACATATATTTGAATTGTGGCATGTATTTCATTACACTCCTAACTTGGATTAAAGGTAGATCTTCAACTAACGAAGAACATTTGCCTGCTTCCATTAACATCTTCATTTGTTGTCTGTAAATATAAATTATATAATTTAATTATATAATTTTCTTTATGCAAAAGTATAAAACATGTCATGGAATATACTGTTTTCCATATCTATTTTTATCTCACCTATTTCCTTGATATAAGTCTATATGTAAAACATCTGTAAGGACTTGTTTACAACTTTCAATGTCACAGGCAGGAAAAAAGTTGGAAATAAAATCAGGAAGTGTCATTAACAATTCAGTATAGATATAAGGTTTGAAGTTGATGCAAGGTACCATCTTTTCTTCAACCAGTGCTTTCTGTATTTGGTAAGGTTGTACATGGCAAGTTGACATATGTGTTTCTGATATCGGTATTAATGGTTTTCTCCCTCGGGTATCCCTAAAAAATTACTTAAATATGACAAAGTGTTCATTAAATCAATCAAACGCAATAAATATTGCAAAAAAAAGTTCTATTAAGCACATATCTCTTCATTCAATATTTTTAAAATAATGATAAGTCTAATATATACCTGCTACTGCTACTGCTACTACCGCTGCTACCGTTGACTGGTATTAGAGGAGGTGGATATTTTACATGAGATGTGTTATGTACAGATGGTGTATGTCTTTGCTGATGTAATAAAGTCGATGCTGATGTATGTACTGGCATTAAAGCTTGAACTTGTTCGCTCAAGCCAAGCATTTGTGGATATGTACTTGCTGTGACTGCATTAGGTACACCTAATGTAGGTGTTGTATATGTAGTGGTCACCCTGAAATAGAAAATTTATTACATTATTTTTTATTACTTTGTAGAATAATTGTTATTTTTTATTTTTATTATACTATTTATTTATATATTCTATTAAAGTCTTTAGCCTCTTTAGCAATGAATAGTAATGAAGATAAATCCATATTTTTTGTGGTTTTTATTGCTTCTATTTTTATCTTAAATTCATTTAAATAAAGTGCTCAATACATTGCAACATCAGAAAATAAAAAATAAAAATTTGTATATACACATGAACAATACAGAACTTGTATATACAAGTGATTGTGCGTGATTAAATTATATAATTATATGACATTTATGTGCTTATATAAATTACAATAAAAATTTTAACAATAATTAAATTTATAAATGTATTTTTTTGCAATCAAATTGTAAAAAATTTCAAAGTGTTATTAAAATTAATTTATATAAAAACAATTTATGTGAAAATATATAAAAAATATATATAAAAATATATAAACATATATTCAATAATTTTATAAAATAATTTATAATAGTGCTGTCAACACTATTTCAAGTATTAGCCAAAGCATTTTTGTTGGTATTATAAAATAATATATATAAAAATAATATATAAAATAATACATATAATATTGGAATATACAAATTATAATTATATAAACTAATGTGTAATAATATGAAATGATATTATTTCTCATAAAATTGTTAATTGAGGTATAATACTATCGTTTTCTTTATTTTTCGTTTTCTTTATGGACAAACTAGTGGACTCGTTGATAACTAATGGATAATCTTTTTCTAAATATAGGAATTACTCAATCATTAAATCATTTTAGACGAGAGACAAACACTTCTCAATTATCTGCATATTTGTACATTGAAACTATTCCGTTCATATTGACAGCACTATAATACAAAATTATGATAAATATTTTAAAATATTAAGTACATATATTATATTATGTGACAAGTGTATGCAAGTAACCAAGAAAGTTTGTGCAGCTTCCTGCCCCTCATAAAAACTGCACGAATTCTCTCTTAGTTATGTGTGATAATATTAATAAATATATTATAAAAAGCAGAAATTTACAACTGAGTCAATGTATTTATCACGCAAAGAAGCTTCAAAGACAGTCATATAGATTAATTATAAGTATTAATATTAGAATTTTATTTCTGTATGAATCAGTTTGATATAATCTTGTGCATGCTATCTTATTTCTTATGATAATCTATACGACTATAGTATATTTTACAAAGACTCACCAGTCATCCTTCCCATAGGTGGGATAACTATATAAAAACAAAAACACGTTGTATGTACAAATGCAGAAAGCTATAGTGCAGATACTCTACATATAATAAATAATTATACTTTATATATAACACAATTGTTTAAGCTGGTAGAAACATATATATGGCAGTAATGAGATTAATATTCCATGCTTAATGTGTTGTATACAAAGAGTGAACATTTTCTCCTTCACAAATTATCTTAATATATTAATTTACTTGATTAGGGAAAGAGAATATACTATTATAATTTCTTTTCTAAACAAAAATTTATTTAACAATATGTTTATAATTAATATTACTGCACTAGATTCATCAAATGTATGATCTTTCATTTTTTTGAAAAACTATTTTGTGGTCCAAAAACAAGATAAAATTATAGGTGATTAAAATTTAAACAATATAATAACACACATGTAACAATATAAAACAGATGCAATATTTTTATAGGATATTATACAATTGCTACTGTGCTAATTGATTCCATATATCATAAGCAAGCATGTACTCTGTGTGTAGGTGAAAATACTATAAAATTGCCAAAAAAGTAGAAAATATTTATATAAATTTGATATATATATACCTAACTTTTAATAAATTAAGTTTTCAATATATAGCAAATGATAGTATTTCATTTATAATTGTTTCAAAGTATCTATTTAGATCTTGTAAAAAATTAGAATTGATCTTGTAAATATTTTTATTCGAAATTTCATGTACAAATCAGAAATTTTAATTAACTTTCTTTATTATGTGTACTTTTTAATGTTTTCTACTCATGTACTACATGTGATAAAGAAAGAAAGATACAGAATCATTTAAATTTCAAATATTAGATTCGAAAAAATACAGAAAAAAAATAAATGGCCTTCATAAGTATTTTTACTTGAATAACATTTTCATTTTTTATCAGCAGAAATTATGATGGAGATTATGTACCACAGATTCAATATTTTTCTAAACAACTAAAAACAAGATACTATCATTTTCTGTATTAAAAAATTTAATTAAAAGTGAAAAGTGCCAAATTTGAATAGATATCAGAGAACTGATAAAAAAATAAAGATATTTTTGAAATTATCTAAAGCTTTATAAACTTTATTACATATACATGCATATATATATATATATATATATATATATATATATGTGTGTGTATATGTACATATAAGTGGCACATGACTTTTAGAAAATTTTATTAATGCTTACCCAAGATTGGGTTGATTGGAGTGAACAGTTGCTGCTCGTACAAGAGGTGGTGGTGGCTGAGCTTGAGCAACTTGGGCTTGCATGGTTGTAGTCGGATATACTCCAGGATATTGAGCTGCTGTTCCACTACTACCTGTTCTACTTCTCGATTGTGGGGGATAGTTTTTGGCAGCAGCAGACATTTGCTGAAAATTAAAAACTGTACATTTGATGTGAAGTTGAACACAAAAATATAAATAGAAATTTAGCATAAATAATATTGAGATTTATAAAATAGGCGTCACTATTATATAGTCGACTTTAACAATTAAAACAATTAGGAGATTAGCTTACGTTGAGCATATTCGCACGTATAAGGGAACTAGCTTGGGAACTGAGGGCCGGTTGAAAGGTAGGTTGACCGCCGACGAGACCCGACCAGCCGTTAACTACACCTTGTACATTATTTAGCATAGGTTGTGATACTATGTTCGATCTACCGGCGGGAAGTCCCGATGGAGAAGAATGCGCGGGATGTGTTGTCACTACGGACCTGGTCTGTCCATGTAGTCGCGTCATTTGCGCCGCTGTACTCACGACAGTTCCCCGCGGCATTATGTTAGGCATCGGCGTAGCACGCGCGTTTAAAGGTGGTACTATTTTATTTGCGCTTTGCACAGAAGTAGGCTTAGTCGCTGGCGGTGTGGGCGGTTGTTTCGTCCATCCCCCGCCGCTACCATTGCCATTGCTGTTCACCAGTAACTGCGAGTCCATTACTTTGGTCGGCCAATAGTCCTCGAAGCCGGTACCCGGTGGAAAGTAACTCTTAATATCATTCAAACTAATCACTGAACACGTTTCACTGGCAAACAGTTCGTTACGTATACCCTGTACTTTACAGCAGAACTTCAAGTACGATAGATCCCAGCCTTCGAGTTTTTCCGCCTTTAACTTGAGATTCTCGGTTTCACCCTCGAAATAAAATAACGGCACGTACTGTAGACCATCCTTCACCGTGTAAGGTACTACAGACTCCTTATTTATTCGTATGAAACCGCATTTCTCCGCTTTGCGTCCGCTCGTTACATTCGGATTGCTACCTGCGGTCAATTTCGTGTAACATACATCGAGAAACGTATAAAACTCCTTGGCGTCCGAGAGTCGCACCACTAAGTCTTTGCACGTAAATGTGTCCCTCCCGAATTGATTCTCACAATGCTTAGTGTTAATATCATTGAATAATTTGCTTTCAGCCTCCGTGATATAATAACTTCTTATACACGTACAGCTGTAGATGTCCGCGTGGAGATAGCTCAGGTACTTGTTGAGAAGCTTAGATTCTAGGATTCGTACGGCGCAATACTTTTCGCCGGACCGAAATATATAAGGTATGTGACATTCGTCGAAGCTTGTCCAGCCGAATCGTCCTCTCTGGCTGTCGTCGTCGAGTGCTGGTGCTTTAATCTCCATAGTAACCGGCGGTTTTGGAGCCGACGATCCATCGTTTGGCCGTTTGTTCAGATATCCAAGAATACTGGGAAGATTAGGCTGCTGCTGCTGCTGCTGCTGCTGCTGCTGTTGCTGCGGTACGAGACATTGCGGCCTCGGTTGTTGCACCGCTGGCATGTTTAACATTTTCGTCTTGTTCGCTTCCACCATTTTGGCAGCCAATTCACGGATCTCCGCTTCATCTGGACGTTCTTGTTTAACAACAACTTTATCGAAACCTGGAAAGAAAATAAGGAACGTATAAGCTTTGTCTCTGCGAGCATCATTATTCAATTCTTAATTTTTACAACTAATTATGCATATCGCATCAAAAAGATATGACATGTTGTTTATATTAAGATTGATGATGTATGATATAAAATATTTACATTAAGTGTAGAAAGCTTACACACTTCTTTTATTATACTATAAAAGTCAAGAAACTAATTATATTACGAGAGAGTGAGCATCGCAAAAAATTCTACTGATATATAGATACGTTCTTTATATTGTCTTCAACATTATTGTCTCTTTGATTAATGACAAACTCGATCAAATGTTATTTTCAAATACTTTATAAACTTATTAATTCACCTCGCGGAAGTATGTATTCATATATCATATATATACGTATGTATCCGTAGGAATAAATCTTAAACAGAATATGCAGACGAAATTTCTATGCACCAACACAAATAATTATTTACTCTGGCCACTACAACGGTTGACGTAACTGACTTTAACACGCGATACTAATCACTGGAAGCCTTGCCAAATTAATGAAGCAATGATAACACAAATGAGTTTTAACACTTTTCACGTATACGTGTATAAGCTAAAATATGCATTTTTTCAAATTAAATTTCTCAATGAAAAATCAAGTTAAATTTCAGAAAAAAGAAAAATATATATTTATTATAAAAATATTACATATTAAAATATATTAAAATATATTATATATTAAAAATATATTATATATTAAAACGACTATCTTTTATCGCACAATTTATTTTACCGAATGTAAATATACTGAACTTTTCGTTTTACGACGTAACGATTATACATTTAAAATACAAAAGAATATTTACAGTTTAAAAGACAATCGCACGCTTTAAACTTCCTTTTGATCCCAATGACCGAAACCGCGTCAAAACAATTGAAAATTTTCATGTAGCGTAAATAAAGGAGTAAACGTGCCGAGTTTCGTGTAAAGATAGACTAAATAAATAAATAGGTAAAACCAATCATCGCGCACGTGACAAGCCTTAATTAAAGATTCTCGATCAATTTCTCACACTCGATAACACGATGGCGCATCGCGTCGCGATTATCAAAACATAAACCGCAGCGTAAACAACACGTTTTCCCTTCTCCAATAGCAACGACGAGGATTCTTACAACTTGTCATCTTGATTCTACAATTCTATCAGAAACTTATTCGAATACTCGCATACTTTAATCGGTCATTCACTCGGGGCCTCTTACGTGACGACGTAAGAAACTGACATGTATAATTTTGGTGACCTCTGCTTTTTCCCACCTACATCTACCAAAGGACGCATTACGCCAGTCATTCTACTTGTACGATTGATGACAAACAAAGTGTCATTGTCCTAAGACATTGGAATGCGACGCCGGCTTGAATTCCCGGATCGACATTCAAGTGTCAAGCGAATAAGACATGTACGAAGGAGAGACATACTGAGTGACATTCGCTCAGGTGCCATCCGCGATGGACTGCTTTTCTCGAGCCATATGGCGTCGGTGCTGCTGTCGGCACTCGCGACCGGTATATCCGTGAAGCCGTTCCTCATCCTCGACGGTCGAGAGGGTTCCCCTTGATTCAGTCGCGAAATCACATCGCAGCTGAACGGTCCGGTAGACCACAGTGCCTCCTTCGTTGAGGTTATAACGTGCGGTATACGTCCACCTACGGGTACCGCCAACGATATCGCGCGCGACCCATGTTACATGACGGGGGAGCGAAACGAGGAACGAGAGGAGAAGAGGACGAGGACGAGGATGACGTATCAACGGTGGACGTTCAAGTGTATAAAACACACACGAGAAAGTCGTTTCTCTAAATGATGATCTCGATTCTTGCAGTTTTCACGCTTTCCCTCGACGATGAGGACGACGTTTCACTTTGTGCGCCGATACGATTATACCAGGTGGCGCGAAAGATTCTCATCACTACACCATCATCGCTGTCGCTACCGTCATCGTCTTCGTCGTCTTCGTCGTCTTCGTCGTCGTCGTCGTCGCTGCCACCGCCGCCGCTGCCACCACCATCACCACCATCGCGCTCGATATGCGTTGAGGGTTTAGGCGAAACTGGGGAAGAACGGGGTACGTAGACGGTATCGTTCCTCCGCCGACTACGTGCATGCTCCGGGCGTAGCTCCGCGAGCCGTTGGAGCCTTCTCAAGGATCACGGCGCACTCGAACGGGGACAGCAGCAGCATATTTTATCGGGCGCGTTTTCCCAGTCTTTGGCGCAAGCCTCGATTTCAAGCCGTCCGATAGGCCGCGTCGTAACGACGAGCTGTCCGCCCGCGGCTCCACGGGGACACTAGGCGCATTTCCGTGTGGTCTAGTCCGCGTACTCTACGCCAACTTGGCAGCGCTCTCTGCGCGGACTGTACCGCGCTAGCAGGGCGCTAGGTATACGTGCCCGCCAGTGTCGTCCTCGACGGATCGCGCTCGAACCGGCCTCGGCATTCTTGAGATATCCGCGAGCCCGCGCGGCTCTTCGTTGGGAGATCGTTTGGGATTCACGGATTCAGTGACAGCCGCGATGTTTCGACGCGGACATGTCATTGCCCGCGACCGTGTCTGGAAAATGTGTTCAAATACATTGGTGATAGGATATTTGACAGACACCGGTCAATAAGTTAGCATGTTTTCGATCAAGTGACCCACTGATTCTGCGACATCCTGTATACTTGCGGAGGAGACTTGATTGAAACTTTTTCATCTGTTTTTTTTTTTCACTCCGTGTCACTTGAAGCGTAAGAATAATTCTCGAAACGAGTGCGTTCAATAATGCTCAAAATGGAGCGATCGAAAAATAGATTCGCGATATTTTCACGTTAAAATGTTCTTCAACAGAATAAGGCAGAATCGTCAATCTCCAATTATCGCACGTCCAATTAATTTCAGTTAATTAGTATGCAAACTCTGTGATTACAAGTGTGTGTGTGTGTGTGTGTGTGTGTGTGTGTGTGTGTGTGTGTGTGACTAATATAATATCCTCTTTATAATGCTCATATAATATTGCACACGTATTTTTTCGAATTTTTCTTCTTTAAATCTTTCATTTTAATTGAAGGAAATTATATATATATATATATATATATATATATATATATATATATATAAGATATATAAATTTTCCATATCTATCTATTTCTATAAATAGAACTGCATATTTAATGCTAGATATAACCGAGTTTCTAACTAGTAATATAAAATTATAATTCAATCTTTATATTAGAAAAGTAAAATTTAGTCACATTCTATATTCTACAGGAGGAAAATCATTTCCTTACAAATTTATCTTTTATAAACTAAGGAAGAAATTGAACGAATAAAAGGATAAGGCACAACTCTATATTAAACATATATCAAATGTCCCTAAATATCATGTCAAAAATATTCTGCTATAAACCTAACTTTTAAGGAAAACCGTCATGTTACTACTTCTTTGAAATGATGAATAAAATCCCGCCATTTTTGGAATAAACGTATCATTGCGCGCACTCGATACATATTCATTCGAAAACGAATTCGTTTCTTTCACGTGCAATTTTGCAAAATTTGCTGCAAATACAAATTTTGCAAAGTTTCGCAAATTTTGATTCCGACATCTCTGATTTTCCGAGATGCGATATAGCGCCTATACGTGGATAATCGAAACGAATGACGGCCCTCGATCTCGAATCGCGCGCATCGTGTGACATGGATCAGTTGCAGGCGCTAGGTACATACCACTCAAAGAGTAGCCAGGACTGGCGCGTAAGATCGCGCAGACGATGTGACAACATCGCACGGTCGATATGCTCTTTCAGGCAAAGTGCCAAGATTGGTAAACGCACGCGGGAGTATATAGTCGTTTCAGGTACCTAACCCTCCCCTCCCTCTAACGCCCGCGCTTGATTCGCTGCTCTCCATCACTCCTGGAACTCATCCGTGGGGTTCACCCTGCGGGTGGGGGTTCGCGGAGAGGAGTAGGAGTATGGAAGTTGCGCAGAACCCAGCCAGACGTTAGCTCCCGCTCACGCCATTGCGCAGCTCTTATATAAAGCCGTCGGCCGCCTATGTACTACATATGTATTATACTTATTATTTTAATCATGATTTACGAGCGCGGCGTTGCCGGTTCTCGCTCCGGGCACGCCCATTCCCTCTCTTGTCTCACTTTTCAGCCATATAGGCGAATACATAGAAACGCGCGCGCGGAAAAGCAACGTCGCTTGATCGATACTTGAGAAACTTGCAATAAAAAAATGACTATCGCGAATACATTTCTTCGATGGCCCGCGAGTATATGGATTAAGGATTCTCTCGCGCACATTTTGTCTAATGTAAATATAATTGAACTTCCTGCCGAATGCATTTTTTTTTCAATAATCCCCGAAACTTTGCGCACAACGCGTATACATGCTCCAAATCTATTATTTACAATACATTATATACCCATTAAATATCTATTATTTACAATATATTATACATCCCTTGAATAAAAAATACATGCGCCGGAAATATATACATATCCGATTAGCTCATATCGTTTTGCGACGTTGCGGCCTTGATGGCATCTAGTTTTATCGCGCAGCGATGTTGGGCCAGTTGTTGTGGCAACACTGGAAAGCCATAGTGATCTATTTATAGTAGCCCTCTAACGCCGCTGTTGCTATGCCAGGCGAAGGCATATTGGCCCGAGGGTGGGGCGGAGATAGGTGGGGATGGATAGAGTGGAGGGAGAAGAAGGGTAAAGTGTAGGTGGCGCGAAGAGAGCAGCGGGGGAGGGGGGAGCCACCGACAGAACAATATGGCGGACCGGATATATGTGTATTCTGCCCCGATCTATCCACATTCTGCTATAACTCGACTTTCTCTATCTCGCTTCCGCGTCCACGCTTTCCTTCTCCCTCTCCCTCGCGCGCGCTATATACGATTCTCTAATCTACATGATAATAGCTTCTCCTACATTTCCTGCACCTTGCGAAAGTACGACCATGACGAGCGAATGTTACGCAACGCGCGGGGAACCTCTATAGCGGGCGAAATATAAGGATAGATCGCGAATAGAACGTTAATAAGGCGCGCGTTTCCTTCCCGCGGCCGATGAATAAAATCAACACGGCGAAGGTCATCTCTCGTCTCCGCCCCTCCTCCCCCTCTCCCCCCTTCCCCCGGAGGAAAAGTAAAATAGAGCAAAGGGGAGGAGGAGGTGAGGAGCCGAAGAGACGAATGAAAAAAAAAGATCCGGACCGCCGTCCTTTACGCAGGCGTAATTTTTTTTGCGCAGCTCGCGCAAAATTGCATATGGCGCCGTTCACTCGCAGCAGCTGACGAGGGCTCGCGCGGCTCCCATGCAACGCCGAAGGCACGCGCGGAGACATAGCGCTACGCGAGCGAGCTCGGCGAGCCTCGGCCATCCTCGGCGCGAGCTGCCTCTTTGTTACATCATTCCTCGCGCTTTATGTAGTACATAGGGGCGGATACATTATGTATCACGGAGCCATACATATATGTATGTCTCTCTCTCTCCCGTTGTACATAGCGCGCGCAGGCGAGCAAGCCGGTCGACGGACACCAGCGCGCACTTGCGGCAAGTAAAGCCTGGCTCCGTGTTACACGACGCGCTCGCAAACAAGACGCCGCGCGTTCGACGTATTGCATTATTACGTGTACGTAAGAGGCACGACGCGGCGAAGCGATTTAACGGAAAATATACGACGCCTGGGAAATTCATACCTTCGTAATAATGGCGCGAAAAATGTACCGCGAGGTGGATTCGCGAAGAATTTAAGAGCGCGATGACGTCCCTTGATATTTATGCGGCGAATATCCGAAGAATATCTCGAGACGATGTGCCGTACCTTTTATATTGTAGAATGTTTGTGTATGTGTATGTTGCGTGTGTGTGTGTGTGTGTGTGTGTAGGTGCGCGCGCGCGCAACATCATATTAATATAAATGTTGCGCAACATTTGTAATATCGCGAGATAATATTTCAGAGAAGACACATTTGTTAGTTTCATTACTCGACAAATAATTTGAAATTTTCCCGAATGTTTTTCAAGACTCTGAATATCCCAGCACAATATTCTCGAAAGGGTCGTCTACAATGGCCGTAGCTTAAGGTTGTAAGACTCAAGAATTTGACCAATCACAGTCAAGTATTAAGGGAATATTCGACCGTGATTGGTCAATTTCTTGAGTCAATTTCTTACACCTTACAACCTTATGCTATTAAGCCATTCTAGACGACCCTTAACAACACACGTGTTCAAAAGACATCCGAAGGACATTCAAATGAAGTCAAAGGATATCCTCTGGATGACCTCTGGACATTTTTCGAGCACGTGCGCTGTTTAGGTTTTAAATAACTGAATATAAGACATCTTTAAAGTGCAAAGCCACGTATATATATTGAAATATTAAAACTACTAAACAATCGATAGTAATATATTATTAATTCTGCATGGAATATGAGAAATGAAATTTTAATTCATCAAACAAACCGTATTTGTTGAAGAATATAAACTCTCGTTTTCAATATATATATATATATATATATGACGTAATAATTTTACATATTTAAAAGATACTTGTCACATAAATTTATATACACATTTATACACACGTGATAAACAAGTAGAGCGAGAATGAAAGATCGCAAACATCGTCTGACGTTCGTGTTGGTAATGATCGTTCTTTTACGTTTAATATTTGTACCGGGCGGATTCTCTAAAATTAATCCGCGTACCAAGAAATTAATTCATTAATCGAAACGCGTTCCGAAACATTGATAAAATACACCATTACTAACCTAATGGATATCGACTTTCATTACGTCGGTTCTCTTAACAATATATTCTTAATCGGCATCGTAGAGGCGAGACGTCCACGTTGCATTCCAGTAGAGCAGAATCGAATCGTCCAACGACACGGACGCTCGACTTGTCAGCGGTCGACCAACAATTACCGGCACATTTCGCCGGCTTACGAGACGCGTCTCGTGGAAGGCATAACACTCGCATGAGCGAGAATAGTGCGATTAATCGAAGGGAAGGGGATCGGGATGTGTGCGCGCCACAAATAAAGAGGACAACGCGAGGCGCGGGACGACGCGCGACGGGGGACGAGGGGGGGAGAGCGCGGGGGGAGACGAGGGAAGAAGGGCATAAAGGTACACGCCGCGGCGGACTCGGCTGGCGCGGTCGCGTCGGCTCCCGCCACCGTCGCCGCAGCCGTCATCGCCGTCGCTAACCTACCTAACCTCCCATCGCCGCTAACCTCAAAACGTTACCTTTCTTAACGTAAGCCTCGACGATCTCTACTTCCTCGTCGGTTATCTTGTCGCTCATTTTCTTCTTCTCGTTAAGCTGGATATCTATGCACATAATTCCACGCCGCCGTGCGGAACTCTCCTCGCGACACGGCCGACACGATGGCACCGCGCGCCCGTGACATTTACATCAAGTTGCTTGAGGGAGCCAACGAGCGCGAGCGGGAACGCGCGCGAAAATTCGTACACGGCTGATCCGGCGAGCGACCGGAAGGAAGACACGACCGACGCGGCAAAAGTCACGGCGCACTCTCAGAGAGCGCTCTTAAACCGTAATACATCCGCGCTACGTTCTCGTAGTATCGCACTCGTGTACATGGCCGGGGAAGCGTAGGGAAAAAGAGGGAAGGCCGCAACACGCCGGGGTACGTCAAGACACGTCGAGACAGGCACGAGAGCAGCCGCGCGATATCGCCGCGCCGGTGTTCTATATCGTGTTTTATCGCGACGCGAACGAAACGCACCTCGTTCGTCGCCGACTTTCTGCCGTTCCGCGTTTTCTGCTGTTTTACCAAGTAACCGGGACTGGGTTTCAGACACTTTCAGATCAGATTTGAATGTTGTACACGTTGCCAGTTCTTTCTCGTTACTTCCTCTCCTATCCCCGAGCCGCCTAGTCCCCCTTTATCTCCTTCCCCCCCTCGCCCGTTCCCCCGCCTCTCACCCCCCTTGCAGTCCTTATGTACTTAACGGTTGCGACGTTGCCGCACATCCGGTGGCCGCGTGGTGGGGGAACGAGAATTTCCAAGAGGTGGGGGTTTGTATATAAGCGCGAACATGGCGGATTGGATGTAGCGGGGTTTTGCATGGCGAATGGGACGAGAGTGGGGAGGGGATGTACATATATATATATATATATATACACGTATATATATACATAAAAGGGGGGAGGTTTATAGCTCAGAAATGGGAATTTTCCATGACGTGTTGAAACAACAGTGACCGTTATTTGATCACGTGACCGTACTAGAAATCGGTAAGGGCGCCATGCGACGCGCGCGCCCTCATCTTTCAAAAAATCCTTCACTTCCGTTTGCGAGGGAAATATTGATTTTTGACATTGATCCGTAAGGGGATTAATTAATGTATCTTTAACAAATATTTATATTGTATATCGCGCGCGTTATAATTAATAACCACAAAAATTAATTATTAAACCTCCGAGCGGCGTATACGATAAATACAAAATTATTTATTGTATAAATTAATTTAAAGAATAATACATGAGCGGGTAATTGCAAATTTATAAATTACGGAATGCAAAAAAATTAAAATAAAATAATTACGATGCTATCCCCATCGTATTATACATTACTGTAGTACACATTGCTCGTCGGGTGTTCGTTGCGAGGAATCTATGTCTTTTGTAGCTAGAAGTCCTTTGGTACTTTCAGCTGCCTTCATCCAAATTTGTATCTGTTGATAAAGATCAATAACTTATTTAAACGTTTCAAGAAATTATATTCTATGCACATATGTATATATATCATATATACATATATATATATATATATATATATATATATATATCAAATCAAATTCAATATATCCAATCAAAAATAATGTAAAAGAGTTATATTTTTTAAATTAGATTTTATGAAAGAAATTTGACATGGAACGTTACATTCTAATTTAACTAATGTAATAATAGCACAATAGCATTTTAACCTTCTGGCAATATTCTTTTAATAGCTCACAAGTTGCCTCGTGTAACATGTACCGATACAAGTAAACGGAAACATTGCGATATTTTCATTTCAAATTGATGTTCACGCTTTATTTATACTACTTTATTTTCATGTTCGTGAGTTGAGCGTCGTACAATTAATACAATTTCCGGAAGATTTATTTTTAAAGTTCTTTTTTTCATATTTGTTTTATGTTACTTGAAATGAGTTTACAAGATTCCATCATACTTTCACTACTTTTTTTCTTTAATACTCTGTACTTTTCGTTTAAGCTATTAAAGTTAAGGGATGTACAAGTTATTTTTAACGAAAGAATAAAATAGCGAGAAATATCGATGCTTATCGATGCATCGATATTTTATGATCAATGAGTCATTATAAATGACTCATTAATAAATTCATCATCATCTTATCATCAAATTATTAATTTAAGGACATTAATCTAAAATTAAAGTAAAAATAATATTCATTTGTTAATGCATTTTGAATCATTTAAGAATGTTTACATATTATATTTGTGTATATATGTTCTTTAATATTTAAAATATTTGAAATAATTCAAAATATACTGAATGGACATAAATTAACTAGTCAAGCGATAGAAAAAAAAAACTTATATTAATGATAGATTTTAATAACTTTTTAACATTTAGTACATTTTTTTGTATTCGATTTTGTATATTAAATTTTTGCAGTAAAATTTAAAAAAATTTTAAAAATATACAAAGATTTTTTAATCTGATATAGTTTGATATAGAAAATAATATATTTCATCTAATCACCTGCTTATGTAGTAAGTCTCTCCTTAGGCCTAATGGTTCCTTACCCAATAAAGGCACAAGTATACCTAAACAAGACTGAAATTTTTCTAAAGCCAGGGCATAATTACCCTCAGCAAGATATTGTTCAGCAGCTTCTCCTATTTCAAGTGCATCCGTCATACCTGTGGTACTCTTACTGAGAATTCCTATTGATAAATAAATTATATCACAATTGTTTATATTGTTACAATTGTTTATATTGTTTATATAATTTATATGAAGAATTTTAAATTCTATTATCTTAAAATATTTTTAATATCCTTTTTAATATCCTTTTTCGCATTAAATAACCAGAAACGATATTCGATTATATGAAATTCCATTTCAGATAAATATTGCATCATAAGCATTTTATTCTGAAAGATTCAATATTATACAAACGTAATTTATTGTACGCGAATGCCGAGCTTCTCTCTAAAGACGGTATCCTTTGCAAGGATGAAGTATTTCCTTTATTTTCAGATGGCGCACACTTTTCATCGTTATCGTCTACAAATGCTACTTTAAGCGTTTCTGCTCTCCTTATGTAATCATTCACACGATGCCGTAATATTTCCTTTCGCTTTGGATCACTTTCGTCTAATCAAATAATGTCTAATTATAATAAAATATTCGTAAGAGAATATTCAAATTAAAATACGAGAAATTTAAATCGAAATGTCGATCGTATTTAAACGATTGTTCAACTCGAGTTTAAAAAAAAAATATTCATGAGAAATATATCGATCTTACTTGTTAAAATTGGAATAAAATATCTAAGAGCCTCGCAATACAGATAAAATGCTTCTTGTACATTCTTCTCAGCATCCATTTCAACGGCTTGATGCACCAATGCCACTGCCTTATCGTAATTTTCTTTCGTCGGCGCGTGCTCTAAGTCCAGAAACTCATGCGCGAAAAATTCGTTATACGTTATTCGATCGGCAGGATTGTGCTTTAACAGAGCCATAAGTAAATCCTTACACATTGCCGATACATGAGCCGCCTTTGGTATCTATAATGAATAATACTAACGTTTACACAAATGATTCATGATTAAAAATTATGTATGAAGCTCTCTCAACGCGAATTAATATACGTATTATTTATACCGTATCGATCAAGTTAACAATTTTTGTGTATCGTATTATTTATTTCATAACGTCATATTAAGAGAAATATTTCAAAACGATGCGTTTAAATTTTTAAAAATTTCGCTTTTATATATTCTTACTAACTTTCCCTCATTATATATTTGTAGAAATGTATTCTATACTTTTAGTTTTAAAGCTCAGGTATATACTGAAAAAAAGTTTGTTAACTTAACTAAACCGTTCAACTAAATTATTATTTTTTTAATTGAAACGTTTAAATATTTCAGTTAAATAGATGTCATGTTAGATTTAATATGTATTCGTATTTAATATTTAAATATTTCAATTAAAGAAATAATAATTTAGTTGAATAGTTTAGTCCAGTTAATAACTTTTTTCTCAGTGTAGTAAAAATATTGTCTATACGATAGTAAAATAAATGTCAATCACCTCAATAGGTTGACTATCTTTGATTTTTTCTGCTAGTTCCTGAAAGCTACTGCTAGAATAGGGAGCTTTCCCGAAAAGACACTCGTACATGATCACCCCGACACTCCACAGATCAACGCGAGCATCATATTTGTGTTTCAACAGCATTTCAGGTGCCATGTAAAGGGGTGAACCACGTATCGCGAATTTGTGCTCCGAATTCGAGAGATACTGAGCGAAACCGAAATCTGAAACGGCGAGGAACAAGTAATGATTCGTCTGTTGAGTACATCATTCTGTTAAAATAAAAAAATGTACATATATTTCTTTCCAATTTTTTCAAAAATATATGAAAAATAAAATAAAATAAATTGACGATATACCTCCAACTTTGAGCACTAATTGAGGTCTTCTCGTTAACAGTAAATTTTGTGGTTTGAGATCCATGTGACAAACATTATGATCGCGCAAATATCTCATCGCTAACGCGAGCTGTTGTAGAAATCTGCGACAAATGTTTTCAGGTAGTTTGTGTTTTTTCTTTATAAATTTCGACAAGTCTCCACCGTCACAGTATTCCATGACGATATATATATGCCTGTTTATACGTATATAAGCATTATTATTTTTTCTTCTTTAGGAAAAAAAATATATATAAAAATATAATGTTAATATAGTGACGGCGAAAATGATTTTTTATCGAATTATCTGTGATTATATAATATATAATTCATTCATCAACTCAGTAAAATAGTGAAACATTATTAAAATTTATTATTAATTAGTACAATTCAGTAATATTTTCAGTAAAATATTATATTATAAATATTATATTAATATATTATATTAATATATTAATATATTATATTAATATATTATATTAAAATATTATATTATAAAGTCTCATGTAACGAACCCTTCATCCCAGAAAAAATCTTTCATCTCTACGATATGCTCGTGCTTGAGAACATTTAACAGCTTAATCTCTGTCACGAGATTGTCGATCGCTGACTTAGAGAGCGATCCTTTATCCACACACTTGATAGCGACTACCTCTCGACTCCCACCCTAAGAATAATCATCAAAAGAAATAATGTTTTATAGATTTCATAACTTATATTAATGCAGTCTTGAATCTAATTATAAGAAGTCTGAGAATCCATGTGTGAAATATATTTTAATATATTTATGTATATATATATATGTGTGTGTGTGTGTGTGTGTGTATTTTTTTTAAATAAAATATATATATTTACTAATATATAGTATATATTTTAAGAAAAATACAGCCGCATCGAGTGATATATTATACGCTCAAAATTAACTCTGTAATCTCCACTGAAAAATTTATATTTTATCCTGAAACATGAGATCTATAAAGGCAGATGTTATTTGCAAGTCGAATGCCACGGGTGCCAAAGAAAGCAAATACGACACTGTAATCTGATAATAAATATGCAAATAAATGCTATCGTTCGAAAGTGTATTTATCTTTTTGTAAACTGTAAATACATACATCTACACGTGGGAATCTTTGTATGTACAACACATAGCAATGTAAGAAGTGCATATATATATATATATATATATATATATATATATATATATATTTATATATGATAACTACGATATCAGGTCTATTTGTTCCGCTTGCACTTTCTACATTTAGCTTTTTCGCTTTCTCTTTCTCTTTTTTTCTTCCTTTCTCTTTACGCAAATATATTATTTATTTTATGTAAAGTGCAAAAAAGTTAAGGAAGTGGAAAAACAAAACAAACATCATAACCATACTCTACGAATCTAAAAAATCTACACGTACCTTCTTAAATGCTTTGTAAACGGTCGCATAGCTTCCGGAGCCAATCTTTTCCAGCATAGAATAATCACTCACGGTGGGTAGGCTCATTTTTACCGAAAGTAGGTTCATTTATCGCGACATTTCTAGTGAAATATCTTAAAGATTACTATGATAATACAATTTTTGCTCCAGCACGCGTTGCTCATGCGCGCTACTTTGCGTTATCTCAACAGATATATCAAAATAATTTCATACTGTTCATACAATCAAAGAATTAGACTGCGTAAAATTAATAAATCTCATTTCTTTCAATATTGGAATATATTAATCGATTCCTCAGTGGAAGGTACGAAACGTCATGAAAAAGGAATAATTCACGTGACAGTGCTCAAAGTGCTACGAGTAATTTACAGTTGACAGGTTAATGTTTAACGCCGACGCTGTAAAAGATGCGCAGGCAACAACTGTCACGATCTTTATTGACGCGAGAAAGCACGAGTGATGATTCTAACGCGTCTGTTCAGCATCAGAAGCGTAAATTACTCCTCGGATACTACTCGTTGATAAACAATGCCGAGTAAATCGTCGGCGTGAACTAGCGCGAATACGGTCGCGTGTGCGTCAGCTGTGCGTGACGCGTCGCGAGGCTCACTTCACGCGCTACGGACGAGGATTATCGCGACGGAGTTAACGTCACGGCCGCGCGACAGGGGGCGCGACGGGCGGCAGTTGGCGAGCGTTCGTTGATGCGAGCCGACGTTGGCGTGACATCGCTCTTCCGTCGTCCTCGCGAAACGATCCCTCTCTCTCCGTCTCTCTCCGTCTCACGAAATTTCCCGTGCGATTATCCCGTACACGAACCCGTCTTCGGTCGCGGACGTCGACGACGGAAGAAGACGGCATGCTCGTCGTTCGATCGACGAGAGTTGTTCCGATGCCGCGCGTCGTCGTGGACGTGACAGCAGCGCTCCCGCTATAGACTCGTTCAACGCTTTCTTTCACGGCGAACTTGTGCGTTCCTCGAGCTTGAAACGTGGTTATTGTCCGCGATGGGAAAGGATAAATAAGATAAGGATAATTTATCGTGCATCGACGTGATCTCGTAACTCCAGTGTTGTGGTGGTACTCGCGAGTGCGACATTTCCAAGTAACCCTGTGTCCCCGCGACGTAAGAAAAGAGAAAAAAAAAAGAAAAAAAAATTACTGACTCTGTTTTTCGACAAAACGTCCCAGGAATATAATACAGGTTTAGCAAGATACGCAGATAAGTTGCGATGTAACGTGAGTTTCGCGCCGTCCATTTGTTTACGGTGGATTTCTCACTCAATTTCGCAAGGAACTGTGAAATTTGTCGGTAAGGCTTGTTTACAAGAAGAGAGACATGAATTTCTCGTCGCTCCAAACGATGCTCCGCGAGATTAGGTCACGATCGCGCGACCAGCCTTGATATACGCGTGTCATTGTATTTTATTATAACGCGCGCTAATTAGCGAATCTCAATTGCGACACGTTTGTCCTTCGCGCATGTATTTTTATCGGATGCGAATCGGAATCGACTCTTCCGATGGCCTCCGATCATTCTTAGAAGCGCATTTTGCTCGACACGTGACACGATACCCGCGATTCCTAGAGGATGAAAATTGCCCTCGACGAAACTAATAATACAAAATATCAATTCCACGAACATATTATCGTCCAGCCGTTGATCGCACCTATCCTGGTCGCGGTAAATGTTAATTGGTTGACCGAGTGAGCCTGTTGGCCGTTTTCGCCGTGAGATTAGCCGTTAGTGCGTCAGCTACCGGAGTTCATTTCGGATGTTTTGGCAGCTGATTTTGCTCCCCTTTCTCTTTCCGTAACAGAAACGTTTGAAAATTTTGCAACCCTTTACACTGCCGAAGAGTTGAAACATTATCACGGGAATTTGGTTTTCCGACGTGTCAACAATCCGCCTATCGAGAGACTACCTTTCTGGATGCTTTATTGGGAAGCATCAAGAAACGATGACGTCATGTACTGAAACATAAGCTGTTTTCTCGTAGCAGGTGCGCGTATCAAATTTTCGGAGTCGCGAATTATTTGTTGAAGTTGACACGCGGTGAACAAACATCAATTTTCGATTTAATTTTGCCAGACACATATCACGTATAAAAATGTAAATTACACGATTAATGAATTTGTATCATATATATTAATGCAATAGTGGCTTGTATCTATTGTTTATTCAGATGTGAATATTTTTATACTGTGTTACTATATATTTTTATTCAGATGTGTATATTTTTATACTGTGTTACTATATATTTTTATATTGTGTTACAAGATTGGTATTGATTGAATTGACACAGTGCGAAATCCCAAGATATATTCTTGCGACTCTTTCTATTCAAATTCTACGTGTATAGGTGCGGTATATAATTGATCAAGAAAAGGACTTTAATCCAGAGAGATTGCTTCTATTATTTTCTCACAACAATGGATTCGGAAGAGGAAACACTTTATGACGATGTTGATTCTGGTAATGAATCAAGTGGCGATGATGTTGACTTTGCCATGGAAATAGAATCTGGTAATCCACGTGAACGAGCTACCGATGTCGATGAATATCCTTTTGAAGTACTTTCCACAGAAGAGATTGTACAACACATGGTCGATTCTATAAAGGAAGTCAACACTGTTGTTGAAGTAAGCTTTACAGATTACAATAATTAATGATTGTACATTTCAAGATAAATACTAAAACACATGTTTTATGTATGCGCTAATCTACAGATACCAGCAACAACTACACGTATTTTATTAAATCACTTTAAATGGGATAAAGAAAAATTGATGGAGCGTTTTTACGACGGTGATCAGGAAAAGTTATTTGCTGAAGCACGTGTCATTAATCCATTTAGAAAGGGTCCGTTAATAAGCAGAAGTCGATCCTCGCAAAGTTCTTTGGTAAATGTGTAGAATTTACTCGAATTATATTTTGTGTGTCATTCATAAATTACAATAAAATTTATTTTATTTATGTTTAAGTCCAAAAGAATGACAAATGGAACAGAGGAATGTGGAATTTGCTTTATGATCTTACCAACCTCAGTAAGTTTACTATAACAAGGTTTCTTTAAAAATAGTTTTTAAAAGTATTAATAAAAAGGAATAAGATAAAAAAAACTTTAAAAAAATGTTAGATGATGACTGGTCTCGAATGTGGGCATCGTTTCTGTACCGGGTGCTGGGGAGAATATTTGACGACTAAAATCATGGAAGAAGGAGTTGGACAAACAATTGCATGTGCTGCTCATGCTTGCGACATTTTAGTCGACGATGCTAGTGTTATGCGGCTTGTCAAAGATTCCAAAGTTAAATTAAAGTATCAACATTTAATCACCAACAGCTTTGTCGAAGTAAATACTTGTAATGAATATATTTGAACTTATTGGACATTATAAATATAAGTGTCTCTTACATGTATTTTTTTTTCTTAGTGTAATAGGTTATTGAGATGGTGTCCTTCTCCTGATTGTAATAATGCTGTTAAGGTGCAGTATGTAGAAGCAAGACCAGTTACTTGCAAATGTGGACATATTTTCTGTTTTCACTGTGGTGAAAATTGGCATGATCCTGTAAAGTGTCATTTACTCCGAAAATGGATTAAAAAGTGTGACGACGATTCTGAAACGTCAAACTGGATTGCTGCCAATACAAAAGAATGCCCTAAATGTAATGTTACTATCGAAAAAGATGGCGGATGTAATCACATGGTTTGCAAAAATCAAAATTGTAAAACTGAATTTTGCTGGGTATGTCTTGGGCCATGGGAACCACACGGTTCCAGCTGGTATAATTGTAATCGCTACGATGAAGAGGAAGCTAAAGTAGCTAGGAATGCACAAGAAAAATCCAGATCAGCTTTACAGAGATATTTATTTTATTGCAATAGATATATGAATCACATGCAATCGCTGAAATTTGAGAGTAAATTGTATGCCAGTGTAAAGGAAAAGATGGAAGAAATGCAACAACATAATATGTCATGGATTGAGGTATATCAACATAATATTATATTAATAATACATATTTAATAATACACTTATATATAGTCACTCGAATTTATTGAATACAAAATTATGCAAACTAATCTCTTTATATATGTTTCAGGTACAATTTTTGAAAAAAGCAGTGGATATTTTATGTTCCTGTAGGCAGACTCTCATGTATACTTATGTCTTTGCTTATTATGTGAAAAAGAACAATCAATCTGTGATTTTTGAAGATAACCAAAAGGATTTAGAGAGTGCCACAGAATGCCTCTCTGAATATCTCGAAAGAGATATCACGAGTGAAAATCTTGCAGACATTAAACAAAAGGTTCAAGATAAATATAGGTGAGAATTGTATATCTGTATATAATATATTCTTTATTTTAGGAAAATAAAAGTATCCTGTTTACACAACTGTAATGTTTGTAAAAACAACACTTTATTTGCTTTTGAAGATACTGCGATAGTCGAAGAAAGGTACTTTTAGAACATGTCCATGAAGGGTACGAGAAGGAATGGTGGGATTACAAGGAATAGAGGATCTTTATTAGAGTTTCATTTCTTGGGGTGTGACACACAAGTTCTCTTCCTTCCCACCTCTGCCCCAGCTGTGATAAACTAAGAAAAAAAAGGAGCTAACACAAGAGACAAAAATGGAGTATGTCACAAAGTGATAAATGTGTTATATGCACTTTATACATAATATGCTCTGTGGTCACACATATATTATCGTTTATGATAAATATTGAACTCGAACTATTAAAATTCAATCTGATCGCCAAATAGTTGATTGGACACTATCTTAATTTGTGCTTGCTGTGTGTTGTACATCATTGTAGATTCTTAATCCTTGATAAAATGCCCCATTGTTTTAGATAATGGTAAGAATATTAATTATATTCATTAAGACGAACAACATGCGCATCATTATTAGTCAAATATTATTATTAATGTTTTAGCAATATGTTAAAATAACTCGGCTAAAAAATTAATATTTTAATGTATTTTACTGATGTTAATCGATTGCAATTTTTAAATACTGATGATTTATTTTCTTCCCATTACTATTTTAAGGATAGCTGTTTAAAATATAAAATGGGTCAGGTATGTACAACTAAGATGGATCACATCTCAACTGTTTTGTGCTATTTTGGACCACAATACGTCCAGGCTATAACTGCCAATCTTTAAGGGACACTAAATTATATGCGTATCGTCAGTGCTATGTATTTTTATTGTTAATGTTTAAAATGATACCCGTCCTGATTATATCATTTTTAAAAAAGATTTCAACACAAAACATCTTGTCAAATAGTAAGGATATAATTTTTATTATCTTATAAAATAGTAAAGATATAATCTTTATTATCTCATAAAATAGTAAGTATATACTCTTTATTATCTCAAAATAATAAGGATATAATATTATATTCTTTATTACAATTTATCCTTCTTTTATACATTTCTTATTTCTTTCTCTACAGACATATATTTCAATTTGTTATTCATACTGACGTTGCGCAGTTCAAAGGGGGCCAAATGTGATATCTTCACATGTATCATATTGCATGTCGTAAAAAAACATTACACAGATGTAGAACACACATTTATATTAAATTGTAACAAAATACTTACACTATTATCATTGTTTCTCTCTTTTTGTAAATCTGATATAATTTAAATGATAAATTATACAATATATTTTTATCTTAACTTGTATTATATTACATTTCGATTTTTTAAAAACGGATATATTCCAAACAGTTTATAATTGTAATATACATATGCACACATCTCTCTCCTCCTCCCCCTCTCTCTCCTCTTTCCCTCTCTTTCTCTTTCTCTGTTTACATAATGTTTTAGGTATTTTGTATGTTACCATGTTTTAATTAAAATGTTGATTGTAATTTTACATAAATGTGACTATATTTTTTAAATTTAATCTTACAATTATTTCAGGTTATTTTATTATCCTTATCATGTTTCTTTTATCATTGTGTTATTTCTTTCATTTAATTTTATTATTATTTCTACATAACGCTGACGATATGTTTTATGTACATTAGCTAAATAATTAATGGTTGATGATTACAATAAAATATTCACTTATTATCGTCAATATAAGTGGCAGACGAAATGAGTTCCATTTGTACAGTTAATGTAATGTATGTGTATATTATATATATATATATATATATATATATATATATATATATATATAATAAAATAAATACTTTTAAACATAGTAATATCAATAATAACAAAGTAAATGTAGAAAATTTTGAAGATTTATTGAACAGAATTTGTGTGTTGATTCTTGCTATTATACATTAGGATCTGAATAAAAGTTGAAATGCAGTTGTTTTCTGTACAGTCGCAAAATTTGATTAGATGTAAGGAAATTGTTAGATATATTTCCGCCAGAAAAAAGTCTCTAGTTTGTGATTTTATAATTGTATCCATTCAATTCGTAAATTATAATAGCATATTAAAAGAGCTCTGATATGATCCTGTATAAAAATAAAATTCATAAATGTTCAAAATTTCTTGTACATGACCCAAACTTGAGCTTTTTAGGCTGAGAGTCTTCGTATTCATAAAAATATGTGGCATATATGGAGTTGAAATATTTAGCTGTCAAACTGTCAAACATATCCAAGAAACCACTCTTGTCAACGATGCAAATGTTTAATTGCATTTTAGTTGGGATAGATTGCAAATTCTTGTGTCAAAGATTTCATTATTCGTTCATTTAATTTTATGAGAATATTTCATAAATAAATATTATAAAATTTACACAATAATAAAACAAACTATTTTATTAGTAAATTGTAATATAGAAGAAAATCGCGCGGCTTTACTTTTATGACTATACAAATCAGAATATGATACATTGGTTGCATTCTGAAAATCACTGTTGATATTGCAAATTTATTTCACATTATGTATATCACATTATGTAAATTTTCAGTACCAACAATGAATTTCAGAATACAGCCATTATCATCTTTATCATATTCTTATAGGGATAGATTTGTCATCATTGTTCGATGTTGCCTTTTGTTAACATAATTAAATACATAATGTATATTGTAAATACTACACACACACACACACATATATATATATATATATATATATATATATATATATATATATATATATTCATATACATACATTGTAAATCTTAAGTGATTTAGATCTCAATAGTCTCATGAGAATATGAAAATATGTATGAGATTTCACGAATGCTGAAAATGACAGTTAATATATTTCCTTGACAGAAATGTATCTTCATCTTTGATTAAGAAATAAAGAGAGGCAAATTATTATCCCATAGCATCCTATTATAACATTATACTTATTATGTATTCAAAATGCTTATAATTGAAATATTTTAATCATACAGAGAACTCGATAAATTCGAATATATAAGTATAATCTCTTTAAATATAATATTATTTTAAACAAAACTATCCATATCATGTATAAAAGTTTGTAACATGAAAAAATAGTTAATTTTCTACATATTGCAGCACATTTTTCTTTGCAGAAAATAATGTACTGAATGTAATGTAATATTTTAAAAGTATTATTAATATCAATGGAATGTCAAACACCTTTATGTATTTTTTGTGTTCTTCATTAACTCATATTTTAAGATTAAACATAGATATAGTGTGTATTAGAAGGATTATATTCATCATAATAGGAATAACGATTGTTTCACATATATGAAGTTATTATTTTTGATTATTTGCAAACATATATATACATTAGAAATATGTCGTTTACAATATTTCGTAGTAATTAAGACTGATTCCCCCCTTTGACATGACATAATGCGCAACAGTATATATATATATATATATATATATATATATATATATATATATATATATATATATTAAAACTTATTTTACTTATAATTTATAATGATACATTAAAATGCTTTCTACAATGTTGATTCAATGTGTTTTCCAAGAAAACAAATTTACTTACATCATATCAAGTAAGTCCTTGTATCATTTTATGTGTGAGCACAGTTTATATATATATATAGTAGCATAAAACTATATTGAAATTTTTTCATAGCAACAGTAAGTTGTGTGTGTTCTACCCTGTAAATTTCCATTGATAATAATATTTGATAGTGTTATATGAGAAATTATTGAATTTTATCAAGCATAAATAATGCAAATATACAGATGCAGATCTCACCCAGATTGAAAGATAAGAAATTATATTAAATTTTTGCTGTGAAGTTACAAACTGAGTAATTTTATCTCTTTGTAGTATTCTTTTTCAATTTTTCTTCCTTGTCTCTTCTTTCAATGATTATAAGAAAAACATATTTATTTTATAAAAGTATTTATTGTGAATATAAAATTTTTGCAAGTATAATAATAGAATATATCGAAGTAAAAAAGTAGCCGTTACTTGAATATATATCACGGTACAATTCTTAACTATTTCTTGTTTTTTTCCCCTTTGTTATTACATACATTTCTTAATGTTTAAAATTGTGTGGATGTAATCAATTCTACGACCAAAGATATTTGAAAAATTTATTATTTAATATATTCTCTACCTAAAATAAATTATAAATAAATATATTGTATTTCTCTCTTTCTCTCCCTCTTTCTCTACCTAAATGCAATAAAATTTCGAGAGAAAGAGAGATTCTTGTTTCATAGAAATTTCTAATAATTTCTTTAATTTTGAGTATTATTGAAAATTATTTTAATATTTAAAAAAATGTCTATTATAAAATTAAATAAGATATATTCTGTTTACTATACATATATAAATTTCACTAGTTTGTGTTATAAGGTATTGTAATAGGAAACTAGCGTCATTGTCTGTCGCTCATGCTATATATGCTGGCTGGAGTTATATAAAAAGTAGGACGTTTCTAAGCAGAGTGACGTTGATATGAAAATTATGTACGTCAACGCGTTGAAATATCTTTTGTTAATCTTGTACGTTTCTCGTTTAGACGTAGCAAACTCTCCGTTTGAATCGAATCGTTCCAATGTCGTGTGAAATGTTGTAATATTGTACGTATGTTGTAGAAAAAATCTGTTCACATTTCTCTTTCGAACGTGTTCTCGTGGAACATAAGTACGCGATAATTTCTTGGACAAAACATACTCAAACCACATGATCTTGCGAGGCTCCATCAGGAAGTCACTGACAAGATTGTAGCGATTACACCAAGAGTGGCTCCTGTCATTAATAAACTCCTCCAAATTGCTCCGCTAATTTCTTCAGCCACAGGATATTCTACGCATAATTGCTCCTGTAAAAAAACAATACAAGGTATATGTACTTTAGGTAAAAATTTGAATATGCTTTTCTCTCTTAGCGCAAAGTACTTACCCATCCACCATAGCCTTTAATAAAATGTGTTATCTTTTCACCAACATATCTAGAAACATATAGCGGCAATTTCTTCTTGAGACTGTGCATTCTTCTGTCTCTGGCCCATAAAGCTAATCTGCCCATAAAAGCATACAAGCAAACAATTCTGGCCCATGTAATAACGCCGTGTAAGAACAGCTCATTGGCAACTCCCATAAATGTTTCATACGCAGTATCCGGAACAACGTTTAAACGATTTACCATACTCGTAAAGAGAATGCTATGTTTGTTGAGCATTTGATATACATTGTGCCTCATGCTACGAGATACTGGATCCTGGGATATAAGATAGATATCTTCTTTTAACAAGTACCGCATTACATCATTGGCCAGACTCCCTGCGGCAGATTCTATAGAATCGTCGTGAATGTTGTATCGTGGTAGTGGGCCCAATTGTGGGAAGAGATGTTGAAGTCGAATCTAAAAAATAAGAGACATTTTGTCTCGAGTGTAAAACTATTTTTTATAACGATTATCGCAAAAGTTACAGGGTAAGAGACACAGGATTAAATAAGCTTGACAAGTTTTTTTTTACATCCAATTAAGAAATGTAGATATCAATAAGCATTTTGATAATTTGGCTGCTGGCCAGGAACCGGTGCGGATAATTGACAAGCGTAATAACCGATATACGATACCTGACACATTTCAAAGAAAGACATAGCGCGATTGGCAGCGCCGACCGCATATCGGCAGACACCGTCTTCGCTGTCGTCGGCGGCAGCTCGCTCGTTCGACGAATTCCTGTTACCGGGGGGATCGCATTCCAGAATGCCGCCCACTCTGGAATGCAGCTCCCCGCGCGTTGACGTATCCTGCCCCTCCTCCGCGCCACCCCGGGCGCCCAGAATCTCATTGTTCATCGTCGTCCCGTCGTCGCCGGCCATCCTGTCCCGCTATCAAACGTTTCTCCAATTATTCCGTCCCTCGCGTACAAATTCCCGTTGCCTTCTCGGGTCGTCGTCGTGACACACACACGGGCACCGCTCTTACGTTACATCTCACGCTGGTCCCTCCAAGATCGTCCGGATGCGTGAATCGATCTCGCGCGCGCGCGCGCGCGCGTCCGTCCGATGCGCCGGGATGGAAGCGAGCGCGCGATGCTCCAAAAACTCGAACCTCGGCCGACCGACTCGATCCAACCCGGCCACCCAACCGACCGACCAGCCAGCGACAAACCGCTCCGCTCTCTACTTTCCCGCGGCCATTTCCAAAGCCGATGTCGAGAAGCCGAAACCGCGCCGCGCCGTTTCCTCCGCTCTCGCTCCGCCTCTCGTCGCGCCACTCGACTTCTCTCCCGTACCGCTCCCTTGGCCTGCCGACCAGTCCGCCTCACGAATGTTCACATCACTACCACTACCGCTTATCTCGAGACTCCAACCCCACCACGGTAGTGCCTTGTATGACGTAGCTCAGTGTCTTTCACGGCTCGAGTCCACCCGAGGATAAGGAAGACGCTGTCACGACGTGCGATTTTGACAAGCGAGAAACGTCACTCGCGGCTCCCCGCGACAACGAGATTATATATCGCGCAGCAGGCGACAGACGATTCGAGGGACGGTTACAACGGTCTCGTACCACCGTGTCGAGTGGCGGACGCGAATTGAGAGACCCTGACGCGAACGCAGAGAGTACGGCGAGCGAGAGAACGAGTCGCCGAGACGGCACTCTCACCAGCGCGGCGCGCGCTACACCTTCGCACACCATCGCGCCGGCTCTCTATGGATCATTCACGTTTTCGCCCCACCACCGCGCCGCCTCGACACGTGCACCGTGTGCATACACGAGGCCCGGCCGCGCGTAGTGGTGCGCGTCCCGTCTCTGTCCGGCCCGCGCGGCCGCTCGCCTCCCTCGCGAGGCGCCGCCGATAACCTCAACCCTTTCCAGCGCGCGCTCTCACGCACGTGCTTACCTGTGTGGCGTACCTGTGTGTACCTGGGAACGGAATTTTCGTTGGAACGCCGGGAGTACGTTCGTGGGGCTTACCACGCTCGTCCGCGAGAAGATACGGCCATTATACGGTCTTTGTCGCGGAGGGTTTCGAGAGGAAACCCTGCTTGGGTCCTTGAGAGGGTTCCTCGCCGTTCTTTGTCGCATCCCATGCAGCACAGATCATTGTTACATTGCAGCAATATTGCTGCAACGTAACAACGGTCTGTACTGTTCCTATACAGCACTGAATATTGCAGCAATATTAATAATATTGCTATAACATTGCGGCAACATTGCAATATTGCCGCAATATTACTGCAATGTTCTGTGCTGTATGAGTTGTTGTATCCCATACACTACAGACCATTGTTGTTATATTGCAGCAATATTGCGGTGTTGCGGCAATATTGCCGATATATTCGGAATGACGTTTACAGGCTTGAATTTCAATCTGCATCGCGGTGGTATTCGTTTCTCTTCGAGCGTTGCTTACGTCACCGTAGATTAGCGTTCATTCAGCTTTCCCGCGTCTCGGATTCCTCAGAGAATTGCATACTCGCCAAGAGAGATGCATTATTCGCCGTAGCAACGCGAGAAACGGTGAAAGTCTCCGCGGCCGTAGTTACCCTCCCCCTCCCCTCCCCCTTCCCCCGTGCATACTTCTCCCCCACGCGAGACCGAAATCATCCACAATGAAATTGACTCGAGAATATATTCGCTCCTTGAGAATTCATGACTTGGATCGGGCATTTAAAGGAAGGGGATTTAAATCTCATTCACGACATATATTCGAGAGCGACTGTTTCAATCCGGATTAATTAAAGATAATCCCAGCAAACACCAAATAACATTTAATTGTTAGTTGCAATTTCCTCGACAGTTAATATACATGTTATCCAACAACTACATAACATGTAACAGTTATATTGTTGAGTGGGAAATTATAACAGCGCTATGTAATTGTTATTTGGTGTTTGCCGGGAATATTTCTAATCTCACGCATGAGGGCTCGGTTTGATAGGAATTTACGAGATATCTAGGCACTAAATCCATAGACAATGAGACAAGGTATATTCAGTGAATGCGTCGCGCACATGACAGGTCAACGGTGGTTCTACGGTGCGTTTTCCACGAAAGGATTACGCTGAAACTGGTCCGCGCCAGTTGGTCCCGCAGTGTCGTAATCAGGTGAGCGTGCACCCGTATCTCGCTCTCAGGGTGGCACGTTTATGGCTACGTAATAAGCGTAGAGCACATTGCACGCTCTCTCGCCGAGATCCCTTATCTTTCTCGCGATATTTTTTAACACAGAAGTGCGTGACGTGAGAAGCGAGAAGGATTATTGACCGAGGCTCTCCCTATACAGCACAGACCATTGTTACATTGCAGCAATATTGCCGCATGTAACAATGGTTTGTGCTGTATGGGCCCCGCAAACACCAAGTAACATTTATATAACTGTTAGTTGTAATTTCCCACATGTAACAGTTATATTGTTGAATTATATAACGGTTATTTGGTGTTTGCTGAGGGGGAGAGTCTCGGTCAATAATCCTCGCTTCTCACGTCACGCACAGCAACATCGCAATATTGCTGCAATGTAACAATGGTCTGTGCTGTGTGGGTCCAGCAGACACTAAGTAACATTTATATAACTGTTATTTGGCGTTTGAGGGGAGAGTCTCGGTCAATAATCCTCGCTTCTCACGTCACGCACAGCAACATCGCAATATTGCGGCAATATTGCTACAATGTAACAATGGTCTGTGCTGTATGAGGAGATCCTCGGTCAATAATCCTTCTCGCTTCTCACGCACAGCAACATCGTAATATTGCAGCAATATTGCTGCAATGTAACAACAATTGGTTTGCACTGTATGGATCTCACTTCGTTCGAGCAGAATGCTCGGTCCGTTTATCCGCGAACGGTCCATGCATATATGTACACATGTGCGTATGTATGTGTGTGTGTGTGTGTGTGTGTGTGTAACATACGCGGCTTCTCTCCCGCGGGGCCAAGTTTCCCTCCCTCGGTCACACGTTTCTGTAGCCGCCTCCCCCCCGCGCCGCGACACGCGCGACCCATGCCTACCACTCCTTTCTGCCGGCGGTGCAACCTTCAAAGGCCACTGAATGCGTCCATGAATGAAGTAGGAAAGTTGCTGGAGTACAGATCGACCGGATGTATGCATACTAGGTGGGTAAGAAAACAAGAGCCGCCGCGCTACGTCAGCGTCCGCGACTGTCGATCGGAACCAGTTCTAGATCGCTGCCGGTGATACTAATGTACCGTATAATATCCGCGATCGCGTTTTACGCGTCTCTTTACATAGATATACACATATATAGAGTTCAGCTATTTAGAATAGGTAACGCTCGCGTGCCGGTCTATTTTAATTGCCAGGATATGAACTCGATTCCGGAACTAGTCTAGCGAGACGGGGGAAGAAAGATGGATGCAAATCTCGTTGCCAGCTAAATCAGATTAACTTACATACATGTTAGGGCCCGTACAAGCTTTACGCGAGTATCGATGCTGCAAAGTTTCGATCTTCGATTTAAAGCTCCTTCGCAGATTTAGCTGCATCGGGAGCATCTCGCAAAGTTTTGCCTTTCACATCGGAGTAGGATAGATACACGTGGCACTCAAAACGCTGAGATATTTCGGAATAAATTGAAAACGAGTCGTAATAAAATTTAATAAATTTAAATTAATTTATTAAATTTAAATTCTTCCTCATGTCTTTTTTTAAAGCAACGAAAATTAAGACAAGAGGAGAAGCCGTCACAAATCTACAATAATAACGTAATATCAATTCTCATTATCAAATTATCAAATTAGCATTGCAATAGCTATTTCGATTGTAATGTCGCGTACGCGCTTACGACATTGCGATTCAAATGATGAGTTTTGTCTCGCGAAATGGACCGTGGGAATACGATAGCGCGAGTGAACAGCACGCAATATTTCAGGGGAACTCGTGGCAATCGCCTGCTTCTCGGTAGCATTTTCTTACTGTCATTCATGATACTACAGGACGGCAATAGGATGATTGCTTGACGGTCGGTGACTAAAGTGGATAAAGCCTTCTACAGCAATCTAACACGAGCCAGGGCGCAGGAGCGCAGAGATTGGGCCCATCTCTCTTCCTTTTGCATCGCATATCGTCAGTTTCTTTCATATTAATCGCTGCATTAATTGCCCGCAATCGCAATCTAAAGACACACGATAAATCGAATGTAGGATGTTTTGATTTGCCCGACATTCTCGGTCTTGTCGCGTGTCATGTGTCATGTGTCGCGATATGAAATATATTTATTGGCTGATAAGTGGTTAAGTCCGGGACATGTTTATATCTGATTGAATTTTTTATGGGCAAGGAGAGAATGTTAAGAGAATTCCAGCCGGTTGAAAGGGACTTAGAATTTAGTTCACCCGATTTCGACGTCCCTGGAATGACAGTAGTACTAACCCTGCTAACAGATTGGCAGACACATACTCACCGCGGACTGACCTCTCTGTGATTTAGTTATGTCTCTATGGATGCATCGCCAAGTCACGCGTGTTTGATATACCGTGTAATAGAAAATAGAAGTGACAGGTCCCGCGGTGGATAAGGTGTTCAAAGGGTTCAAGTCGGGTCGTTTCCTCTTTGTTGAATGAGCTTCCGCTGGTTCGACATCGTTTCGTTTCGAGATATTATGATTAGGTGAGTCTGTTATCTATACGTCGTTTTGTAGGTATTTTGCAACGAAGTTTAGACTGTTTTGAAATTGGAAATATATATTTTAGAAACACAGATTCTTGAATAAATGTACAATCGATTTTTGCTTCAAAAAAAGTATGGAATTATATAATACTAGCAATCAAAATTAGTCTGAAAATTTTAATTAAACAAAATTTGTTTTTGTGTTTCTCGAAGAAGCGACTTTCACAATATATTTCAAATTTTCAAATAAAAGTATGTCGTTCATTAATAGCGATATTCTCTTAATTATATCTTTGATAATCTCTTGATATTTTTTATTTTTAATTATCACAATTTTTAATTTTACGACGGAAAATTAACATTTTTTTAAGCAGTAGAAAAGTAGAGAATAATGATTTTAATTAAGAGACCTTCAACATTGCATTCTTCGCTAAGCAAGGTAATTTCGCGGAGAAGGTAATTTAAATATCAAATCTAAAGAATGCGGATAAAAATATCTCTAGATTTGTTGGTCAAGATTTTCTCCGACTTGAGATTGGACTTTATTCGGCTTAAAATAAAATTTATCATTTTAAAGTTTTTTCTTATAAAAAATATTTATTTTGCCGATCATTTTTTTTGAAACAATAACTCGATCCATCTGGAAACTTGCATATTCATAATCTACTCATAAATTCTATCTACCTCATAAATTCTATTTGAAACCGAAAATGAAGTCCAATATCAAGTTAGAAAAATATTGAGCAACAGGCCTATGGACTCTATTTATAAGGGTAAAAGTTAAACGGTAAATCAGTCCATCTGGAAAGTTGTCAGTGGTCCAAATATTGGCAATTTGGAGACAATCGCTTAATTTATGAAAGGAGCGTGAAATTGAAGGATAAAATTCGAGAGAATGAAGATTAATGATGCCGGGTCGTTTAATGGGCGAGCGAAGGCAAGCTTCTTTCGAGTCCTCTAGATTCCGCGAGCCGATCATCTCTCGCGATTGCGTTCC